TAATTTGAAAATAAGTTGTATATCACTGAGTGTCATTGAGGCCCTGTACTTGCAGTTTAATCCTCCAAGAGTGATGTGTCCTTTCTACCACTGGCATCCACCTTAGACAGGATGAAGTGCCCCATGGGGCAGCTGCCAAATTCTCCCCATGGCTCTAAAAGAAGCCCAGATGACTATTAGATAGTTAACAACATCTGAGGCAACTCACTTATTACAGATAATATCTGTAATATAGATAACATACACGTATATATAAATAAATAATATAGTAACACTCCTGTATAACAGATAAAATCTTCATATAGATCCTCCAATTTGACTTCCAACAGGATAGAATATTATAATTCACCCAGTTAACACGCAGAAAGCCCAATGTCTTGTGTTTGGTGACAGCATAAGTTATATTTGTCTAAAGAATGTTGTCCAAAATGGCATTTAGTCTTCATTTTCAAGGCCATGGTATTATGATGCACAGGCTACTCTCAGTATGACAACGTACTTTTCCAGATTTCACAGTTCCATTTTTATTGATAACTTTTTTGTTAAATCATCCATTTCCATGAAGTCTGGGGATTTCATGAGAGCATCAGCTTCTATTAAACATAAAAGGAATATGTCTCTAATCCTTATTGGTAGAAGGAAAAAAATGCATAAACTGTGAAATAACTTGTCCTAAAGGCTCAGCAATTACAATGTAAATTAACAAGAATGTTTTTATTTTAAAATTATATCTGTTAATGTCTGGCAATTTAAGGATGCATGCTTTCTCTTATTACACCTTTAGAAATCTATAAGATTTGAAGCTTTCATTTAGCTTTAAAATTATGTTTTTGAAAGGTTGGTGAACATTCAAATAATGGCAGGGATTCTAAAGCTAAGTACACAATAGTAAGTAATACTGTCTGTTTTTCTGAACTCATAAAATGACTGATACTGATCAACAGTGAGGTATGTATTATTTTTCTTTAAAAAGATTTTATGTTGGCAACAGAAGTTCAAATCAAAGTATATCCCAAAGGAGATAATTTCCTTTATAATGAGAGATGAGGTTCCCAAATGGAGACATGATCAGAAAATGAGTGTTCAAATGTTTCTGAAAGATTTTATTCAAGATAAATCATCTTCTGTCAACAAATTAGCTTTTGTCACATTATCATGGTTCAGGTGTTGAAGAGACATCAGTTAATACTGTTTAGACACTGTATGTGTTCAGATAAACTGCCTCATGTTACCAGAACCCAGGAATAACGCTTTATATATCTGTGAGCTTTTCACCCACTGATCTCATAGTGCTTTTCTAACACATACTCCAATATCCATGCTGATCTTTAATATACCCTTCTTTACAGCTGGACAAACCCTGCATTTCTGAGCTGTGAGTAAAATTACAACTTCAGCTGTAACACTGCTTGAACTTTGATTGCTGACATCCATCTTTCACACACTTTCCGGAGACTGCAAAAAGTCCATGGACTGATGGCAAAAGGGCTGGAGGGACCCCCCTACATCCTGTGAAGTCTCCAAGGAAGGCGATCTCATTGCATCCTGCAGAATGCAGACACTGTTCAATTTGTAAGGGGCTGACAGACTTATCTGAAGGTGAAATAAAGCTCTGACCACCACCTGAACGTGCTTATGGAGCATTCTGCATCTGCTGCAGGGCTGAGTAATCACATGTGTCCTCCTGCCTCCCAGGGTGTTCTGGGAGGAACCTTTTCTTGAAACTCCCCTTGGGAGGATGAGACTTTAAACGGAACGGTTAATTCTTGCTAGGGTTTTATGAAGCATATTTGCCTTGGCCAATTCACTGCACATCTTCCCTGTATTTGTTATTTTAAAGCATTGAGATATGCCTCTGATCAGCTGTATCAACTACTTCCCACCTAGCGTCCACTAATAATGAAAATCTGGCTATAGAATAGTAATACTAGGCATGATTAAAAAGAGAATCTGTGGCTCCCTTTTAGCAACAAGGGAGTAGATTCAGAAAAGGCAGCACTTTTATAACGGTACAGCAGTGACTTTCATTGATGAGATCCTTGAGCCTGTTGCACAAAGGTAATGCATCTCATATAAGGTAGGCACATGGGGTTCTGCTCTTGATCCGTCAGTACCCACAGTCAGAGAGAATTCTTCTTTAGGGTGTGAGAAGATGGTGTTCTTCTCCCTGCTAACTCAGCTCTTGGCTTGGAGGCAAAAGAAATTAACTCAGAAGTATGTGCTTAGGAAGATGTGACTGAAGCTTAAAAGTTTTTTGGAATGCAAAAATTCAGCTGACAAAAGTGTAACTGGACCACTGGGTACTTTTTTCACTGTTTTTACTGGGTTTTTTATTATGTTCTTTTTGTTATTCCCATCCAGTGTTAATGAGACAAGGGGCAAACACCATCTCTGGACCTTGGATGTTATAGTTCCCCTGTGGTTTATTCACATAACTCTATGTCAGACAGTTGGCTTTTTTCCTTACACAACAAGAATTTACAAATAGCAAATGCCCCTTTGGGCACAAAAAGCAGCATGCTGAGGAAGAAGAGACCTCTCTATAAGTAGCCCAAGTTAGGGTCCTCCAGCTGCCTTGCTCTGATGTGCCCTCTGTTATTGCCTGCAGGTTTTCTTCAATTAGTGCTCATGGGACTAGACAGCTAAATTCCATAATTTTGGGGGAGAGAGGTAGCTAATGTGGTTACCACAGAAATGCCCAGAGCTGAAGCAAGAGGTGGGCCAGAAGGAGTGGTTAGCAGGGAGGCGGAACTGTCATCGCTGATTTCATGGCTATGTGACTTCCTGATCACTGCATCACAAGCACTTTTCATCCCACAGCCTGTCAGCATGCTAGGTCCTCCTGGCAGGACCTACACAGCTTCCAGCAAAATCTGGAGTTCTTGGAGCCAGCTCCCAGCTTTTCTCAAGTCAGTAGGTAAATCTGACATTGTCTGAGTCATACACAAATGGATTCAAGGTGAGAAGAGAGTGGAGGGCAGATCTGCCTGCAAGCTGGCAGAACATACAATGGTCTTGTCCCTGCTTACAGAGGTGACCACCAGACCTGCACCCTGCTGAGCAACTTGGGCCAGAACCCATCAGGGGCTGTTGCGGCCATCTGTAAAAAAGGATGGATGAAACAATGGCTGGGGAACTCTGAATGATCATTATTTCCTTGAGCTCTACCAGGGAAATATTATTTATTCCTCAGGACTGCATATTTTAAGCCCAAGGAGATCTCCCTTCATGCCCCTAGGCTGGATGTTATCAGCCCAGCCACTTCAAATGCACCATCTTTTCATTGCAGTATCTGCAGCATGAGGGTTTAAACCAAGGTCAAAATATATCTCTTTCTTATCACCCCTCTCAAAATTATCTGAGAAACACAGACCTGGGGCCTTAATTGCTGTATTTCTGAGTCTCCTTGTCAGTATGGACTCTACTAATCCAGAAGCATCTGTAGGCAGTGGACTGTAGTGCAACCCTTTGGAAACCATATGTGTGTGAAGAACTGAATGAACATGGGAGAAAGTACAACAACAAAGGGCCCCTGTGTGAATATCTCTACATTTTTACCAAGCAAAAGCTTCTTACATTCTGCAGAATTGAAGCAGATGGGAGACAAGTTCGCAAAATAACTTAAATTCCTTCAGCATTAGCCAGTGTAACAATAATAAAACCTAAGAACTTGATGGCATGTGGGGCAACCTTCTCCGCACTCCCCACCTTATGATTTCTACTATCTGGAATCTAAATGGTGAAAAAGAAAGTATCTTTCAATAGGGTCAATACTGTGAAAACTTTATGAATGCATGCCTAGGTTAGTCCGTGCTCATTTGTGAAACTTGGCTTGCATTGTTCACTGGGTTTTTGCCAAACATATCCGTTGTGTAATTATGTGGCTTGCTTTAATAAATTCACAGAAGTTTCTAGGGATGTAACTAATGTTTCCCCCTCCTTTCTGTAATTAAATGACACCCACCGCAATGAGACCCAGGTTCTAACTGGTGGATTTGTGCCATGATTCACAGTAATTATCAAAACCATTTTTATAACATAGGAACGTGGAAACACCCAGCTATACATTTAAGCAGCCTAGAGAAAACTTTAGGAAAAAAATAAAACAAACACTCTATAAATTCATAAGAGAAATTATTTGTCTGTCCACTGAATAATTTGCCTAATTTCCTTGTGAGCAAAACCAACTTTACTTGATTTTCTGCACTGCACACTGACTTAGACTGAATAATATTGGCTTAAAGCAAGAGCATTCTCACTGAAGTCAACTTCATTGAGATTTCTGCATGGGAAAGTCAAATACAGTGATGGCAGGCATGGTTTCACATCCTGCTGGTCTGACTGAGCAGACCCTCGTACGTGAGGGAGTAAGGGGAGTTATAAGAAAGGTTCTCATGGTTTCAGCTTGAACAGTGTCTAACAAAGATATTTAATAAGGAGCTCCAAAATGTGTTCATTGTTTTGGAGTGTTTCCAAGCTCTTTTGAGAATAAAGAGCTCATTCCAGCATGTATGATTCAAAGTTGGTTATTCCATTCTCATGTAGTCCAATGGAAATGGGATGATTTCTATGCCGAGGTACTAGACAATATGATTAACGGTCTTGGAGCTAGGACCATGCAATTTAGAAACTTTAAAAATGTTTCCATCCCCACAACTGACCTCACTGATTTTATTTAACATGCATTTGAAGGAAGAGCCTTGAAAAGTTATTTTCTCTGCCACAGAAATCTGTGGTCTTTCAGAGAACCAATGAAATGTAGATACACAAAACATACGTTAAAAAATTAAACATTCTTCCTGGTCACAACAAATGTCCATCTTGCCAGGGCTTTATGGCCTACTTCATATAGTGTATTCCGGTTAACAGTAGCGGTAACATATTTCTTTGACAAAAATAAAAAGCTGCATAGTGGCAATGCATAGCAGCCTCACCACCTCAGCTGCAAACCTATGGCTAGAATGTAAGTATATACCCTTTGAAGATACCCTCGGGCTTACCTAGGTCAGAGCACTGCACCACACGAAGATGGCACTGGCAGCGGAAGGGGCACACTGGTCCAAATCCAGATATGACGGGATCGTCTGTTGGAAGCATATCAGCTGACCCTTCACCTTCATCCTCCAGCATAAAGTCAAAGAGGCCTTGCTGGTGGAATGGCTTGGCCAAGCATGCTGGCAGCAGCAGGACGAAGAGAAGAGCCAGCCTCATGGCTTAGTTCATCGACTCCAGAACCTAGGGATCAAAGCAGGAGATTTACAATAAGTAGAGGTTTTCTTTCTGAAGGAGGTCCAGCATACCCACCAATTGCATAACTGTTCCTCACAATAAATGCAAACTGAATTGTGAAAATAGGACAGTTATGTGATAGGAGTCTGGTAACTACTTGTCAATACGTTCTTTTTTTTTTTTTTTTTTTTTTTACAGTGCAGTTTAAAGGCAACTGTAAACACATCTGTTTGCATATTTAGAGTAATATTTATTAGGAACAGGCAGTGCTGTCAACTTTGTTATGCAAAACAGTCAAAACAATAAGCCACATTTTCCATGTGTCTGCTTTCTGCCAACATAACAGTCTATTTGATTTCATTAGCATTTGCTTCATAGCAATGAGTTTGTCCCCTGGGGATGAACCTGAGGTTCCCAAACTCACTATAATGCAGTATTTCATGTCTTGAGAAATATATTTTTTTAAGTGCCAGCTCGTTGCGTGTTTTAAATTATAGCCTAGTAAAACTGACTGAGAAAGAGTAGGATCTAGTGAGGGGGTGGAGAGAGAGAAAGGGGAGGACTTTTAGTTATTTAAATGATCTATACTTCTTTCCCAGTTTAAATAGCACAATAAAATGGAATACAATGTTGTGTTATATTGGATATTCTTGGCTTTCCTTTCAAATTTTTGGCAAGGGAATTTTATGATATAAACAATGCACCCTGAAAATCCTCTGCTTTGCACTGCATAAGCATTTAAATTGACGGTTGTAGTATTGTCAGCCCACTTTTTAGTGGGATTTCGGGTCCTCATTGTGTGGACTTTCATGCTCAGGGGCAACTTTATGTAAGTATGTATTGCCATAGATACTAGCAAGGAAAACTGCTTAAATACACGTTCTCAGGACCTAGGCCTAAATGCATTTCAACACACTACACTGTGCTACCTGTGTTGTTGTGCCCTAAAGAGAAATTAAAAACCAGCTGTTTACATGTTTTCTAACAAGGCTGTATAGATCAGCTAATTTTCTGAAAACTGTTTTCTTTTACTATTTGTTTTATATAAGGGTGCTTATCTTTTACAAATCTTCATGAGTCTAAAACCAACCCACTAAAAACAAAATGAAGAAATCTGTCTTCAAGTTGCCACGTGACAGAAATGAAAAACCGTCATTTATTTAGGAGCCTTTTCTTAAAATGGATAACATAGTCCTGAATACAGATGTTGCTCTTTGTAATGAAAGCAAAAGCGTCCACTTGCTTCTTCATGTCAATAAGTTCCAAAATTCCTTATCTGGGTGCTAGCTGGGATTAATTTTTTTCTATCAGAAGTCATCTAACGTTTAGGAGCATAGCTCCATATTGACTAATGGAAAGATAAAAAACAAGGAGAGGCAGGGGAGAACTGTCTCCCTCTACACTGACATATGGAACCTCCCAGGCAGATGACCAGCATGGACAGATGATGTTAGGTCAGAGTGGTATGCCGAGGCCTCTCTTTCTAGAATACCACAAGCAGGCACTCTAATAGGAGTGGGTGGTATGAAAAAAACTAAATTAAAAAACACAGGCCTGGAATTAGATACAACCTATATTGAGCCTGGGTTCAATTTCCTTTATGAATTTCTACCTACAGATGCCAATAATGGAATCCGACTGAGATTTTAAGGCTCAGTCTTGAGAGGGTGAAAAGGTTACATATAAAATATGCCAGTGTTTTAAAATCATAGCTTACATTTCTGCCATCTAACTAAGAGGAAGACATCTTCAGATTCCCAAAGACTTTAGAGTGATTTTACATGGAGCAAAACATAGTTTCTGTTGCCTCTTTAAGAGATGTAGTTAGTTTCTTAGTTGGACCCAAAAGTATTTTCTATTTCTGGAGCAGACATATTACCTACTGCAAGCACCAAGAGCTCTAGCAGACCCCCAATGCCAACTAGGGGGTCAGAACATATCCTATTAGCCTAACTCAGTGCTGTGCAAACTCGTGCCATGTAGCAGGGTCCCCATGTGGCACATCCTCCTCCACTCCCTGCTGCCCCAGCCCCCCACCAACACTGGGGCTGTCCCCCTTCCCCAGCAACACCCCCATGAGGCTTTCAGAGTACCCACAGACAAGTAAGGGTGTCACAGGAAAGTGGTGTTAATACATGGTGGTGACTTCTTACCAGGGTTTAATCCAAAACAAGGTTTTTCGAAATAATCGTTATTATGTGCGAATTATTGTGAAATAACAATGGAATTTATTAACAGTCTGAAACAGGAAGACAAATTTGCTAAATCATCACCATTCATTGTAATAAGCTGCCTTGCGAAAATGATCAATAAAACATTACCATAGCACAAATTGTTTTTCACAACGTACATTAACATCAGTAAACATTGGGAACGCTACACACTAACCCTGGCATGGCACTGGCAGGCAGTCTTTTTTAAAGAGCTACCCCAGGTTCCTTTTACATATTTGTATATTTTTAAAATATTTTTAGATATTTAATACTGCTTGTATTTCCCTCCAGGGTCACTGCTGAAGCACTGTCCATCTCAAGAATGCACAGTCAGGATCTTATCCTGGAAATAAATTACTACACCTCCAAAAAAAAAAAAAAAAAGCAAAGGCATTAGGGAAGTGTCTTCATACTTTTTGTTCGCATTAATACTGGTGATTTTACTTATCTCAGTTAAACCCTGTAGTAGGCCTTTTTCTGTTGATCTCTGTTTTGTCAAAACTATAATAAAATCAGTAAGAATTGTGCATAAAGAAAAACTGTAGGACACAAAGGATATCAAAGATCTAATCCAAGGACACAGCAGAGAAAATAGTAGACATTAATCAGGAAATAGGAACAGATATGTATCTGCATATCTTTACTCGTATGTGTATTTGTATTACAGGCACACATATCTGTTCCTATTGTTTGCATGTGTAAATGAACATAAACAGAGAAAAAGATATATACAAAACTGCACCAGTAAGAAATGTTTACATTTCACTTACAAAAAAAAAAGAGAGGGGAAAAAAAATCTGAATTCTTAAAAGTCTGTGACACAATATTTATGTCTGCAGAACATAACTGTTTAAATTTGCTTTAATTGTGTGTTTACAATGAGGAAGACTTTTCCACAAACAGAGGAAACTATATCATAGACTTGGCTACATTTCAGTTTAAAATACTGCTGGAAATATGCTTCATCAGTTCACGTCACCACTCTATTGGTGGTCTTGTTGTCCATTTACCTTAATATTAAGTTTTAAATATTAGTTCACCTACTGCCAGAAATCTCTCAAAATGCCACAAAAGACGAGTATTAAACAATACATCCAGTTTCAAAAAAAAAATCTCCTAGATTATATGTCTATGTGTAATAAAGTCTACACTTGCAAATATAGGAGTTGGAAGTTTTAAAGAGATTAAAACACTGTTAACAGGAGTTTCAAATCCAGGAATTTTCTTTTCTACTATTTCATTCATAGGGACTTTCTTTAAATGTGAGTCCCTTGTTTGTACACTTAACACAGCACTTTCTAACATTACAAAGGCACACGCTGAGTCTGTTTAACTAACTACTACTTTTTTTTTTCCCTCTGAATTTTAAATTATATTCATTAATGTTTGGAATACATATGAAGAAATCCGAATGAAAAAGAAATCACGGAGTGCAGTTTAAAACAGAAATGTAAGAATTCACGCTTTCTTTACATTCACTACATCACCGATTCTAAACACTGGATTGCAAACAGAGAATATACTGCTGGAAAAGTTTACAGTAAGGAAAAAGAAAGGACTATAGCAGTGCTTATACAAATCAAAACAAGAGACAGAACAGTCAAATAAACAGTAGGAAATCTGCACAGCCCTTGAGAAGGCATTCTCATGTTCCCAAGAAACAAAAGTGCTGGATACAAAACTTAACATTGCTAAACATTTAGTAGGATTTTTTCCTTGCTTCTCTTAAAATTCAACTAGTTCTTGCCGTAGACTGAAGTTTTATTAGTGCAGCATAGTTCAGGAGAATTACTGAAAACCGTACCTTTTAATCCAGGGATTTGCAACAGGAGCTCTCAAAGCTGAGATGTAATTAAACTAAATATTCAACCCAGGCAAAGGCTTTGCAGGTGTGGAAAGGAGGAGGGGGTAAGTTCAGCTCAGTGACTGTCACTTGGTGGAAAACCCTCCTGCTTCTATTCCATAGCACAGTTAAAAAATAAGGTTTCTCTCAATGAACACAATCCAGGCTGACACCCACATTAGATCATATGGTAATGATATGTCTCCTGTATTGTAGCCAGAAACTTTATCAGCTCTTTTGCTTTCTTTTCCTCCTTTTTCTTTTTCATTTGCTTTACTTCTTTTTCATCTGTTTAGAAAACCAAACTACTTGTATGTTTTAAGACAGATGTTTAGCTGTAATTCATCTTACTTAGGTTAGTTATGTCCCTGAAACGTATATTTAGAAAAGTTTTCTTGGTTTTAACTATATTTTTTTTATGACTCATTACTGAGAAAAATGTTTGGCTGTTCCTCTTGTTTATAGAATTTGCAATTCAAGGAAATGATATAAAATTAATCTTGGAGTTAGTCAAAGTAGAGATTAATATCAGGAAAAAAAGGATAGCTTTAGGTAAAACTATTTAAACAGATATCAACCTGGTTTTGCTTATGCTGCAATCATTGTCAAACCAAGTAATATACAGTGTAGTATACCATTATCTAGTCTAATAACAGAGTTTTTATATATTTTTTCAAAATACAGCGTGCTTTTGATGTATCTGAAAATCATGTTTTCATTAGTAGAACCATTCTAACATTTGTGGTTAGAACGGCTTTATATAAACTTTGTTGGTTTTTTTACTGTTTCTCACCAGGACAGCAAAGCAGAGGGGAAATTAGCTTTAGCTGCTTTTTTGGGGGTGAGGGGGGTTGTGTTGTTTTTTTTTTTAAACAGACAGTGGAGATTTTTTAAATCATGAAAGGAAATACGTATCTGACTCATTGTTCAGATTTATATTTTAGTAATTTCTCTTCTGATGTAAATATCAAAGGAAGCCAAAATGCATTTTCTCTATTCCTGAGCTATTTTAAAAGTCTAGCAAGTTGAAAGAAGAGCAAATACAATAATTACTATTTGTTTAGTAATCCAAACACATTGTGAACATGTGTAGCTTCCCTGTGCTGTTAGCTGCCCTGTCTAAATACTGAAAGCTTGTGCCTCTGTGTTTTGACTTGTATCTTTTTGCCTCTGCCCCTAGGCTAAGACCAGGTGCAAATCCGAAATTAAAGCCTGTAAAATGTGAAATGATCTTTAAAAGAAGTCTGAACCTTTAGATTCACAAAAACCTCTAGAAAATTTAGCTATTTTCTTAATTTAATTTCAGGAACAGCCATAAAATGGTTCTTACAATTGTTCTGCTTCGGTAGAAGAAAACATGGCAGAGTTATTGATCAAACAGAGTTTTGGTCAGTGTAACATAAAGGTATGGTATAATCAGACATCTCACATTACATCTTCTTTATATAGCTCACTCTAAAAGTTAAAGACCGTTTGTTCACCTCTAGTTCTTGGGTTTACTTCTTTCCCCTGCCTCTCCACTAGATTCAAGACTGCTAATGATTTTTGTTGTGACATTTTTCTACATGTGATTAGTGGTGTTCCAAGCTTTTAGTGGTGTTCCAAGCTTTCATGCTTACAACAAAGCCTTATCTTTGTCCAGAAGTGTCACCAGGAGGCTTGCGGAAATCTTGGCTGCATCTTAACAATGTCAGTTATTTGAACCTTAGTCACCAGCTGCATCTGGTGTTTAAAAACATTTCAAAGCAAGATTTTGATGAGGAACAGGTCAGGGTACACTTGTTGTCAGTTTGCTTCACAAACCCCATTCATATTCTTTCCCATTAAAATCGTAATGCATTTGTTCTGGTCTCCATTATAAGGTTGAAACATGTTATAATTTAATAGCTTGGTCATCTTTGGAGGCACACCACGGGAAGGACAGCCACCTCTCCTGTTTTTTTCTTAGATGTTAGGGAAGAGTCAGACAAAACCATGAAGTGTTAGGAAAAAGTGGAGCACAGGGTGCCTGCCAGGTGGACTAGGCGTCCCCAGTCTACCTGCTGAGGAACTGCTGCCTGTGGAGGACAATCTTCCTGCTTATTCTGTAATAAAGTCTCTCCCAAGAAGCTCAGAGGGGAAAAGTTGTTACTGCCTTTAGGAATTATGAAAACACCTACACTGCCTGTCAATACCAGAGGCAGAAGGGGTATGTGTTAGGCATACAAGCCCTCCTGAAATGCAAAGTGGACTATGTGAGGAATTGAGCAACCAAATGGTGGAGGACTTGAGACACAGAATATTGGTGCACTACCCCATGAATTGTTTTGGGTAGTTTGTGTGTTGTTATGGGAATGTAGGTTCCCTTCTGACATGAGCATTCCTTTAACCCCACTCTTTGCCCCTTGCTAAGTCACAAAAAAACCCACAATCCAATAACAATATCAAGTCATTATATAATTTTAAGACCCATGACTATGCACAGGGTTTAGCATCGATAAGCTCTCCTTCCCAGTCTGACCTACCTTGGCCACGTCATAGTCAATAAAAAAAAAAATCGTGATTAGAACAACCTTGGTTTCTATATAATTTTATTACTCTGATTTAACAAACTTACAGGGCTACACACTGCTCCAAATACTGATTCTCAGAAAGTTACAGGCAACTGCATGTTAGTTATTTATATAACAGTCTTTTTTATTAAATTTTGATGGATAGAATCTGTTTTATTTGCTCACAGAATATTTTGTGGACCTTTCAAAGGGCAGTGGTGGGAAAGAAGGCAGGGAGCCTGCCTGCCTACTGTTGATTGCTCTGCCTGGGTCCAGCGAACGTCTCTGCAGGAAGGCGATGAGCAGCTGCTCTGTAAGAAGAAAATATACCCTGGGGAAAGAGCTCCTGGAGTGTGGGGATGGGTTGGGAGAGAAGCATGTCCGGCAGACACCCAGCACTGCCAGAACAAGTTGCAGACTCCTCAGAAGAGTGGGAAGCCAAAACAATCTGCTCCTGGGGGTGAAAAGAAAGGCTTTTGGTTTTAGGGAGCCTGGGAAAAAAAGGGTGGCATTTACTGCAATCCAGAACGTTACTGGAATATAACCAAAGCAGGAGGACAGGAATATGGTGCCTCAGATATTCAGGTTCTTCCTTATTTTAAGTTTTCACTGTAGGAAAAGGCATTTCTCTTGGGCTGCCTTCTAATAGATCCCAGGTCTGATGATCAAAGACTGGTTAGCATTGTTGTGATTGGTGTGGCAAGGAAGAGGGGCAGGCAAATCTGCCTCAAAGTCCTCATGAACCAGCTATGTAAGTGCCAGTCACCGTCAGGATAGGATGAAGCCAGATCTGCTGTTTGGCTGCCTCTCAGGGGTTCTTTCTACCTCCTCTATCTTTGTATTTGACACCTCGGCTTCACTAGCTGCCTAGCATGACATCCTCCACATTCTCTAATAAACTACTGACTGTCTCTCTTTTCTACACTGTGCATAATAATTTCTTCCAGTCACCTGTAGTAAACTGTTCTTTAACATAGCAATGGAATTCCTCTGTTAAAACTGTGAGTAAATATTGCCTCAAGCTTAGTAAACATTGATCCAGGTAAATATTGACCCAGGCAGAGCCTAGCAAGTTAGCTGAAGAAACAGAAATGTAATTTCTCGATATTCTGAGAATCAGAGTCTCTTTCAGTGCTCTGCAATGATAGTCCTGAACTTCTTGACAGTTCTACAGATCAAAAGGACCAATGTATCAGATTTTGGACATGTGCTACCAATAGTATTATTTTTATGCAGTTGTGAAAGTGCTTGTACAACTGTCTGAACAAAATACAACTGAAAAGGGAAAGCCTTATCTTTGGAGAAATAGTCTCTTCTGTCACTGTCTTCCCTTCTCTCCCTTTCCTACTCTGAAAGAGCAGGTACTGTGTAACCTTCATGGTCATCTCCCTGCTCTCTTCTGAAGGGAATCTGTGGGCATTAGAGACCACACTAGGAAACAAATACAGAATATCCTCAGCCGAAATATCCACCGTGTGATCACGTCCTTTACTTTGTTCTCTTTTCTTTGGAAAAGCCAGCCTATTCCTGTACTCAACACTGGCTTCCCTTTACTGGCATTTCTATTCTCTCCTACTCACTACAATTTCAGATACTCTGAACTTAACATCTAGCCTTGAGGAGTAAGCCTGCCTAAACTATTCCTCACACTTTCATAGTGTAGACATACACATTGAGATCACTCTTAACTCTCTCCCTCAAAAATGCAGTAAATAGGTAGAGCTAGACTTTGTAGGAGTCCTCTCAGCTTCTAGCCATCCTAGAAACAGTAAGAGAAAAGTCATTGTGGACCAAAGACGCTAGAACCTCACTTTGACTTCACCTCTTCACCTTTAATTAGTGGTGAATAAAATATATGCAAAAACATTTGCTATCATACACACTGATACTCCTCTGTATCAGTACACAGGTGCTCCATTTGCTGTGTTTCAGTGATAAATAGGATTACATTTTGTCCCTGTGTGGCTTCTGTACAAGTATCAGCACTCTTCTACCCTCTGGAAAACCTCTGACATGAAGGAAGGAGTGTACTGGCAGATACACCTCACCAAAGGTACCAGAAGGCTACAACTCCAAGGATGAGAGTTTGTGTCACTCTGGGAGTGTAGGCAATGAAAGAGGGAATGGTGACTGGAGAGATGAGAGGATTAGTGTAGATATGAGGAGATGAAATTTCAAGTGAGCAGCTGTTTCATCAGTTTTTGGCCTTTCTTTGGATTATGCAGTGTCTTGAGTTGGAGTCCAACCATTTCCAAAGTTCAGATGAAAAATCCAAACCTTAATTCTCATTTTGATGGCCCTTAGGTCATGCTCTGGACAAGCCTCATTATCCCAGCTGGATTACACAATGCCCTAGAAAAGGATGACAGTAATTCATGCAAATCTTGGAACTGTACTCTTTGCATGTCCTCTGTTACTCAGGGGTTATGAACCAGCATTCAAAATGAGACACATCCTGTGCAGCTCTGAACAGCCTATTCCCAGATTATGAAAAACATGTGAATAGCCAGGTCAACCTTGATTTCCAATTTAGTCATCACAGAGAGTAAAGCTTTTCAG